GAGATCATAAGACTAACAAAGCCAGCTGCAGTAAGAAGACACCAACTTGTAGACAAGACCTAAGGCCTTGCAAGGCAATGGTTAACTTACGCCCTACAAGCCATCAAATCTCATTAGGCCAGTTCTTTTAAATTAACCCAGTGTGTGGCTTACTTTTCAACTGACTCTGGCATAGCATCACATGACAGATCTCTTTATTTTTTTTTATTTTTTTTTTTGAGATAGGGTCTCACTGTCACGCAGTCTGGAGTGCAGTGGCACGATCTCAGCTCACTGCAACCCATGGGTTAGAGCAATTCTCACACCTCAGCCTCCCAAGTGGCTGGGATTACAGGTGAGCGCTACCACGCTTGGCTAATTTTTTGTATTTTTAATAGAGACAGCATTTCATCATGTTGCCCAGGCTGGTCTTGAACTCCTGGGCTCAATCTGCCCACGTTGGTCACCCAAAGTGCTTGATTAAAGGCATGAACCACCATACCAGCCACCACCTTAATGTAAGCATTTCTTTGTGCTGAATTCCAGTCTTTAAACAAAGCTTTACTCCTTTAACCAATTGCAAATTCGAGAATCTGAGTCCACTTATAACCTGTAAGCCCCCTGCTTTAAGATATCCCACCCTTTGGGGCTGAACCAGTAGATACCTTCCATGTATTGATTTATGTCTTTGCCTATAATTCCTGCCTCCTTAAAATGTATAAAACCAAACTGTAACCCCATTGCCTTGGGACCACCCACTGAAGGTTTCTTGGGTTTGTGTTTTCTCCAAGCCATGGTCACTCATATTGGCTCAGAATAAACCTCTTTAAAAGACTTCGCAGAGTTTGGTATTTCTGTTAACACCCCCGAAGGAAATCAGAATATTGCACCTCAAAATATGACTGAACTAAAGAAGCGGCCTCAAGGTCTTTGTGACCTCTCCACTGCTTCCTGTCTCAACCCGTGGTCTCTACCAAGGCCCAGGATAAGGCTGGGCAGTCCTCTGAAGCTCCCTTATCTACCTAGAAACCAGACCCCCTAAGACAAACACAATTGCCTGCCCTCTCCTCCCTCAGACCTCATTATCTCATGTGGAAAAGAAGACCGAGGAATGCACACACCTGGACAAACTTTCCCACCAGATTAAGCCTGCCCCTCTGGCCCATCAAATTCCAAAGAGAATCATTGGCAAGTTACTTTGTCTCCCAGTCCATTCATTCTCCCTAATAATCGTTTACTACCACGCGAAAGAATTGTCTGCATTCTACATTTCCTCCCTCCCCTGTGAAGAACAGTATATAAGCTGCTGTACCCCTTTGGATTATCGGGCAATCATTCTCTCATGCTGTGCATATTTAAATAAATTGTCATACCCTTTCTCCTATTAATCTGCCTTTTGTCAGCTGATTTTCAGTGAACCTTCTGAGGGTGAAGGGGAAGCTTTCTCTCTGCCCCTTACCCCCTGTGATGCCCACCCAGCCACAGCTGGGTTCCTTCACCCTGTCGCTACCTCTCCATGCAGCAGAAACTTCTCTCTTTGAAGAAGGAACTTAGGATGGGAACTGCCAGTGCTAAGCGCCTACATGGGGCCAGGCACTGTGGTGGGATTTCCTCCCCAAGGTCCGATTAAACCCTCTTTGATGGTGACATTGAAGGGCAGTGTATCCTGAACAGAGACACCTAACTGGGAAGTGGCTAGACTAACAGATACAGCTGTCTGTCTGCAAAACCTAAGCTGCTTCAACCATGGCACATGGTGTCCCAACTCCATGAACACCAGACTTGCAAAAGGAGCAAATTCTGGCTCCTGATGCCAGCTAAACAGTTGTGTCTTCCTCTCTCTGTCTCCTTTGTAAACCAAAACTAAAATTCTAAGCCACCCAACCATCTAAATGGAGTCCTCCTCTCAGCCAAGGGCACTCCAAAGTTAACCTAAAAAAAAACGAGTTCAGGCCATGATGGGAAAAAGGTGTCAGACGTGCCTCATTATATCCTCCTCCCGTTGGAATTCAGGCACAACTGTCCAGCATTAACATTAAAACAGACCTTAATGTTAGTCCAAACTGCACCATTTTGTAAGCCCCCTGCCATTTCACAGACCTTAGTCAAACTGAAGCTTGCCATGAGGGTTCAGGCCCTGAGAAACATCCTGCCAGCACCTGACCACAAGACACAGGAACATCCTTATCATACCCTGCCAAGCAAAGTCCCAACTGAAGAAATATCCCTGTCAAATCCTGCTGGACAAAGAGCCCAGGGAACATCCCTGGCCAAACCATCTGACCATAGGAACATCTTATCAATATCCTCCAGGGCAGCAGACCATACTGCCCAAAACCCTCCCGCCCATACCTATACGTACCCCGCCTGTAAGCAACGGTGGGCTCTGGCATTAAGCTGGTCCCCAACCTCCACAGGTTTCTGCAATATACCTGTGCTGTTGTAAAGCCTGTGTGTGTGCATGTGTGTGTGTGTGTGTGTGTGTGTGTGTGTGTGTGTCTTAACCCTAACCTTCCCTTTAAAAAACTAACACTTAAGACTTTTTGTAGCAATAAGACACCAAATTCCAGTCTGACTCTAGTATAGTATCACATGACAGATAGCAGGCCTTGAAAGAAATTGAAGTATTTTACCCTAAAATATATTTTCGTCACATCCTGAAATGGTCCTGCAAAGTTGTCTCTTGTGGGAAAAGTCTACATTCTGTAGAAAACCCCTTTCCCTTTCCAGGTCTTTTCTCTGATCCAGGAGAGAATTAACAGAGTCTGGCACCTTTTTAAGTCTCATAAGAAACATTTACAATCTATTCTCTCCAAAGGCTGCTACCTGGAAGCTACATCTGCATAGTAAGAACCTTGGCCTCCACAACCCCTTATCTTAACGCAGGCACTCCCTTCTATGGATTTGAAGTCTGTAGATAAACTCTTTTAATCAATTGCCAATCAGAAAATCTTTAAATCCACCTATGACCTGGAAGCCCATGCCCCACTTCCAGTTGTCCCGCCTTTTGGGACCAAACTAATGTACATCTTACATGAATTGATGTCTTATGTCTCCCTAAAACGTATAAAACCAATCTGTAGCCAGACCCCTTTGGGCAGATGTTCTTAGAATCTCGTGGGGCTGTGTCACCGGCCACTGATCCCTCATGTTTGGCTCAGAATACATCTTTTCAAATATTTTACAGAGTTCAACTCTTTATCAATCTTTTTTTTCTTTGAGATGAAGTCTCGCTCTGTCACCAGGCTGGACTACAGTGGCACGATCTCAGCCCACTGCAACCTCCCTCTCCCAGGTTCAAACAGTTCTCCTGCCTCAGCCTCCCTAGTAGCTGGGAGTGTAGGAGTGTGCCACCACGCCCAGCTAATTTTTGCATTTTCAGTAGAGATGGGGTTTCACCATGTTGACCAGGATGGTCTCGATCTCTTGACCTCATGATCCACCTGCCTTGGCCTCCCAAAGTACTGGGATTACAGGCATGAGCCACCGTGCCCAGCCCTAACGCCTTATTAAACATTCCCTGTCCACCATTAATCATCATTCACCCAGTCTCCTCTCCTCTCTCCCCACCTCTACCCCCTCCTCCATCCAGCCCCCTGACATTCTGGCCCCAGTTCACACAGCCTCCTGCACAAGCAGCAAACAGGGAGGATGAGCACCTCTGTCAGACTTGGGACATCTGTGGACCTGCTCCTGTGCCCTCTGCAGGCCTAGGATAAAGGCTCATGCAGGTTTGGTAGCACCTGTGAGTCAGGAGGGGTCGCCTTACACCTGGTAAATTAGGTTTAGCCTAAAGTTGCCTTCTGACATATTTTAAGTTCAACCTAAAGGTCCTCCGTACATTGTGAACTGTACGCTTCCATTTTCTGGGAGTCACTTTCCTTTTTCTGTCCATAAATCTTCTTCTACCACGTGGCAGCCCCAGAGTCTCTCTGAACCTATTCCGGTTCCCCAGGCCCAACTGTGACTCGTTCTTTGCTCAATTAAACTCAGTTAAATGTAATTTGTCTAGGATTTTCCTTTTAACAGATCTAAGTGTTTCTTTAATTAGAAACAAATATCCTGCTCTTCTCCACGACAGATTGTGTGAATCAAACCACAAAACGTGAGTCTGAAGGTTCAAGATCTTCATACAATCTCAAAACAGACTGGCTAGGCAAGACATTAAGTGTGCATGGAGGCCTGGACTGGATCCTCAGCTGTGAGGCCTTCCTGCTTCTGGCTGTTTGTGTAGCCTGCGCCGTCTACAGCTTGGCCCTATTTCCAAGTACAGGCACACTTGGAAATATAAAGAAATATGCATGCTCGGTAAGAAGTCTTGCACTCTTGCACTGGGACCCCTTTCCCCAGCTGACACTGTAGGTAAGATAATATGAATTGAGCAAATGTGACTCCCACGGAGTAAAAGCCCTCTATTTAACCAGGCAGTCGGGATATTGAATAATCCTAGTGGGAAGCTGTTTTAAAATTTAGAGCTAATTACTTAATCTCAAGCTCGTATTTCTGAAGGAAGTTTTTTTCAGCCTGATAATCATACCACCATGGGCAGTTTATTTAAGAAAACACATTAATTAAAACAACGTTCAAGAAATCACAACCAGGTTTAGAAGCAGGCACGTTTCCTTTGGAACACTTGTAATTAATATTCACACCACTTCCTGCAGGTTAGCAGGCTACTAATGCTCGTTTGAACGGACTGTGGGTCGTAACCACAGATGATGCAGAATGGCTGAGCTCTGAGGCCCCACAGCGTTCCAGTTGGGAGAACTAATCTCTGGAATGTTCTCAGTCTCTGCTTGCCCCTGGGAAGGAGGGGAGCAGGCAGCATGGGTGACCCTGAGGCGACTGTGCTCTGAGGACCCAGAGCCACCTGCAAGGGCAAGCAGGAAACAAAACACCGGACCTATCTCCCTCCCTCCCTATCCTCTCTTCCGCAAGCCCTGTCTCTCACACAGGCGCGCGCACACACACACACACATACACACACACACACACACACACGAACTTCCCATGCCTCTTACTTTGCTGACAGGCCGAGAGAATAGAGACAGCAGCCAGCAGGATCGAGTTCCCGGCCATCTTTCTCACGGAACTATTTGTAGAACGCAGGGGAAGATAAGAGGCGCTTCTTGACTTTGAATGCTGACCTTCCTTATCTGGTAAACAAAGTTGGGGAAGGGGGGGGAAAAAGGCTGATTCAAGCGGCTAAATGACCTTTGCCCTGGAACAGAAGTCAGGAAGGCAGGCGGGTCTGGCGCTGCCGGTCACAGATCTTTCTGGGGCTGGGAGTTGCTTCCGGCGTTTGTTTTAAGCCTCTCCCATGGCCGGCGGGCAGGGCTACAGCTCACTGTGGGACCAGCCCTCCAGCCGCAGCGCCACAGTTACACTATCTTCTCTGCCAATGCACAGACTCTCTGGATCCCTTTCATACCCACGCCCTTCCCTCCCCGGGCCTTGCTGAGCCCTTTCTCACCTCCTGTGGAAAGAGTGAGAAGGAAGTACTTACTTAATCCTGATGAAATTTTAAATGCTAATTTAAACCAGTTCTAATTTATTCACGCTGTGAATGGCCGATTTTGGATTTAAACCCAGTCTAGCAGATTGCAATTGTGCCCTATCCCCTGCACCAGGCTTCCTCTCACTGTCACCTTGAGACTCTGATGATAATCTTACTGTTTTTTTTTTAGACAGGGTCTTGATCTGTCACCCAGGCTGAAGTGTAGTGGCACGATCATAGCTCACTGCAGCCTCCAACTTTTGGGCTCAAGTGATCCTCCTGCCTCAGCCTCCCAAGTAGCTAGGACTACAGCCGCAAGTCACTGTGCCCAGCCATTTTTTAAAAAATAAACCGGCCAGCTGCGGTGGCTCATGCCTGTAATCCCAGCACTTTGGGAGGTCAAGGAGAGCAAATCATGAGGTCAGGAGATCAAGACTGTCCTGGCTAACACGGTAAAACCCCTTCTCTACTAAAAATACAAAAAATCAGCCGGGCATTGTGGCACGCACCTGTAGTCCCAGCTACGCAGGAGGCTGAGGCGGGAGAATCACTTGAACTCAGGAGGCGGGGGTTGTAGTGAGCTGAGATCAGGCCACTGCATTCTAGCCTGGGCAACAGAGTGAGACTCCACCTCAAAAATAAATAAATAAGTAAACCAGGATAGATGTTCTAAGACCTCCTCAAAAAAATTAAAAATAAAAATAAAACCAGGATAGATGTTCTGCGAACCTCAAAAAAATAAAATAAAAATAAAAATTAAATAAACCAGGATAGATGTTCTGAGGAGGAAGAGGACCCCTGAGGAAAGAAATGGACCAATATTTAAGTGGAACCCCTAGTAGGAAACTGCACATATGGCCACCACACCTGCCCAGGGCCTCGCCATTGTCAGACAAAGACACATGCCACCCAGGCAGAGCACAGGCCTCCACAGCTGGGGGCTTCTTCTGCAGAATCCATTTATCACAGCCCCCTCCCCTCTGTCAACACAATCGTTTTGCTCTTTAGAGATGCAGATTCTGGCCGGAATGGTGGCTCATGCCTGTAATCCCAACACTTTGGGATGCTGAGATGGGCAGATGGCTTGAGCTCAGGAGTTTGAGACCAGCCTGGGTAACATGGCAAAACCCCATCTCTAAAAAAAATACAAAAATTAGCAGGGCGTGGTGGCACGTGCCTGTAGTCCCAGCTACTTGGGGGACTGAGGGAAGGGGATTGCTTGAGCCCAGGAGCCTGAGACTGCAGTGAGCTAAGATCATTCCACTGCACTCCAGCCTGGGTGACAAAGTGAGACTCTGCCTCAAAAAAATAATAAAAATAAAGATGCAGCATCCCAAAAACCAAAACTGGGGGCTTTCCTCACCCCATCCTACAGCACTATTAGAGGGTATATCTTGGCTTAAGCTGCTATAACAAAGATACCATAGACCAGTGGCTTATAATAGCAATTTATTCATCACAGTCCTGAAGGCTGGGAAGTCCAAGATGACAGTGCTGGCCAATCAAGTTCCTGGTGAGGACCCTCTTCCTGGTTTGCAGAAGGACACCTTCATGTTGGAGAGAGAGAAAGAGCAAGCTTCCTGGTCACTCCTTATAAAAGCACAGATCCCATTATGGGGGCCTATGCTCATAACCTCACCTATAGCTAATTATCTGCCAAATGCCTGATACCATCACACTGGGGGTTAGGGTCTCAACATATCAATTTCAGAGGGGACACAAACATTTAGTCCCAGTGCCTGCTGGGGAGGGCAGTTGCCTCAGCCTCACACAGACCCTACAGTTTAATGACATAACCTTGGGCCTCTCTGAGCCTCCATTTGATAAGATGGGGCTAATAAGAGCTGAAGTGAAGTTTAAATGATATAGTCCTATTCTAAGGATTGAATTAGTTACTACTTATAGAGCACTTAAAACAGCACCTGGCATAAAAAAATGTATTCTGTGTGTTTGCAAAATAAACACACAAAGTATCGAGACAAGTACTTAGCATATAGTGTACCTAATGTTAAAAGATACTTTCAGAAGTAAAAATCATGCCTTTCATACAATATAAAATGAAAACATATCAAAATTTTTATGTAACTCATTCATGAGGGAACCAGTAAGATGTTATAACCAATTCAAAGGAGAATTCACGGAACTACACATATATAGGAAAGAGGGAATAACAAAATTAATTTATAAATAGTTGCAAGCCAGGTCTGCTCAAAGTTTCTTGTTGGTCTTCAGACTTCCTTGGCTGTCTGCTCTTGAAATCATTGACAACTAAGATCAGATAAGAAGACAGAGCCAAGAAGCAAGGGCAGCACCAAATTGTCTTGTATGCTCAGTTTAATAGTTTCGGGCTTCAGTATATGGCAGAGATTCTAAACTGCAAACTAGCTGCCCTGAACCCGTATCACCATCTACTATAATAACCTCCCAATGACAGATCTCGAAGGAGAGGTCTACACTAGGCCTGTGGGCAGGCAGAGGCTCTCAAAGTCAGAGAACTGCTCGGGAAGAGAGGAACAGCAGCAGGAGGAGCTGAGCAGAGAATTGTGGCCCTGGCTGATAACTGTAACTTTTGGGTGTTGGTAATCTTATTTTGAGAAACTCTTGGGTACACCTGTACTAGTCAACTGGTTTAAAAACAACAACTTCCCAGCTTCTGGACAAATCCGGAGGTTCCCTGCTGACTTCTTCAAGTCAATCTTAAGTCAGTCCCCCAAATCCAGATTCTAAGAGAAGTTTGACACAAAGTAAAAAAATTAAAAATCAATTAATCAATAAAACCTCAAGTGCTTCAAAACCCCATGCGTCTATTTAAAAACATCTTCATTGTCAGTATATGTAGTTATTGCCTCTATGAAAGTATAAAAGAATTGAGCATTGGATAATGAAATATCACCTTCTGCAGTGATAAAATTTCCAGGTGGCCCACAGCTGAAATACTGCCATAGCATTAACAAAAACTCACAAAAATTAGAGTTTCTCTGTATGTTTTCCCTGGATTGGTTGAAGAGGAATGGCATTTTCCCTGTATGTGGTTCCCATAGATCCTTCTAGTATGTTCCATTTATTACATTTTCCTATGAAAAGGAAAATAAAAGGACAAACAGCATACTGGTAATTGCTACGGTCTGAATGTTTGTCCCCTCCAAAACTCATGTTGAAATTTAACTTCCATTATTATGGTAGTTATTAAGAGGTAGGGCAATAAGAGGTGATTAGGCCATGAGATCTCTGCTCCCATGAATAGATTAATGTTGTTATCATAGGAGTGGATTGTTATAAATGTGAGCTTGGCCTTCTCTAGCCCCCTCCCTCTCTTACCCTTTGGGATGACATAGCACAAAGGTCCTCACCAGATGCCAGCACCTTGACATTGAGTCTCCTAACCTCCAGAACTGTGAGAAATAAATTTCTTTTATTTATAAGTTACCCAGTGTGTGGTATTCTGTTATAGCAACAAAATGGAATAAGACAGCAATGATAGTAAAATGTTTTTAAAATATTTTTATTATCTATGTAAACTCAAAAGAAACCTGAAAGAGTTTCTGAGGACTTCAGTTATTACTGAATCACTGTTACCAAAATTATACTCTAGGTAAGGTGAAACAGAGAGGCCAAGATGTGATCGCAAAAAACAAACCTGAACCATGTGAAAGAACTGCTTTCATGAAATGTAAACTCTAAAAGTAACTCTTTCAGTATAATTTTGGTAACAGATTAAAAGAAATGATATATTAAACTATAGAAATGTTTTTCCTCAGCCGGGCATGGTGGCTTACACCTGTAATGCCAGCACTTTGGGAGGCCAAGGGCAGATCACCTGAGGTCAGGAGTTCCAGACCAGCCTAGCCAACATGGTGAAACCCCATCTCTACTAAAAATACAAAAATTAGCCAGACATAGTGGTGCACATCTGTAATCCCAGCTACTCGGGAGGCTGAGACATGAGAATCACTTGAACCCAAGAGGTGGAGGTTGCAGTGAGCCGAGAATGTGCTGTTATACTCCAGCCTGGATGACAGAGCAAGACTCCATCTCAAAACAACAACAACAACAAAAAATGGTTTTTCCTCAAACCAATTGCAACCCCCCCAAATTATTCCCTGGTCTCACCCTCTCTGTTCACTTGTTACCCTTCCAAAAAAGACAGCACATCATACAGGTTTCTGCTGATCTCTACAGCAGTGCTGTCCTCACTCCCATCAGGCCAGGTAGCAGAAAGAGACAGAAAATATACCTCTTTCCCAGGAACTATCAGAGTGATCACGATTATCAATGACCACATAACTCTCCATGTACCCAGAGTTCATTACATTATCTTGCTAGAAGTACTGACTAATTGAAGAATCCTGTAACTACGCAGCAGTTTTTCTGGGTTTTGTTTTGTTTGGAGACGGGGTCTTACTCTGTCACCCTGGGTGGAATGCAGTGACGTGATCATGGCTCACCGCAGCCTCAACCTCCAGGGCTCAAGCCACCCTCCCACCTCAGTCTCCTGAGTAGCTGGATTTAATAGCGGCTTTAACACAGTAAGTTTTTAAGCAAAGTTCAGATAAACACAATTTGAAATTATGCTCCATTTTGCTACATGTTGCAAAAATTTAGGAAATTTTAGTCATCCTGCAGAATACGTTCTCCCATTTCAGAAACTGCAGCATTTTGCTCTGTAGCCCTGAGTGTGAAGAACTGAGCTAAAGAAGGCAAAGGCATTTTATTCCCATTGAGGAGACTTTGCCCTGGACCAGACAGGGCAAAAGGTTACAATTGAATGCCAGCCACCTTCCAGCAGAAACTGCCCACTACCCAACACCAGTAATGACATATCAAGGCTCAAAGATAAAGACAGA